GAAAATTTTCACAAAGAAGATCTAGTGGATGTCAGTCTTACAGCCACTAGAGGCATTGTATCAGACACATGTAAACATTGTCTTTTATCAGAAATAGCAATATTTTACATTGACCAATTATTAGGATATGGTACATTCACCAAAACCACTTTATTAAGCTTAGAGTATCATTTAAAATCCATCGAGAAGGTTTCACAGCTATAAACCTTTATCTTTAAGGAAACAGCACAAATTTATTTTTCCCATAATTATTTGTAGAACTGTTCTAAAACGAACAACTAAAGGTCTAAAAAGGTTATTATGTCTAGTAAACGTAAATGCATATTTGTGATAATCTTATACTGTTATTACATTTATCTTTGTTCGTGGCTGATAATGCACAACTGAATTGATTGAAAGTATCTAATTCGGCACAATAGAAAATCTAGTTTTTTTGTGTAAATTTTCTGATTGGGCTAAAATATGATTTAGCGCACAACACAATTTTTTAATTTTTTTTTTAAACTAGACATTTTACAGCCTTTTGTAAAGTAGACTTATTGGAATAAGTGTGCAAAATGGTAAGATGCTTGAAAATGGATGTATAATTTTTACTGATGAAATCATCTTAATTTGTATCATGTTTGTAAAGAACAGGACATTTCATACCTTAAGGTTTTCACAAAATGAAACACAGGACATTTCATACCTTAAGGTTTATGAATAAATATTACAGAACTGCAAAGGATACAACTATATGAGGCAACAAAATGAGATAAGGTAACAAAGGTAATATAAATGTTTGTTGGGTGAAGTATTTTTGGTAAAGAGTTTGCAATCTTTAATTTAGTTTTAAAAAAAAAAAAGCAGATTTTTCTTCTTGTATGTGATCTCTCAATAAAATTAAACAGGACTTATATATTGGCATATATTTAATCACACAACTACCTACAAATAATTTCTCAATATTAAACAAAGTCATGTAAATGAATTTTAACAGAGAATACATTGGAAGTGGTCAACATCAACATGATCCCCATTGGGGCTGCATTGAGGCTTCCTACTTCAAGGCTGTGTTCTGACTCATCCTAGAAGCTTGAAGCCTAGCTGCATTCTCAACAAATAACAGAATGTACCAATTGCTGGACAACGTACGGTAAATGTGTTAAACTGGGTTGGAAGAAATCCATCATTAAAATAATTTTATAAAAGCTATAAAAGGGAAACAATATTAAGAATACATGCCCATAATCTGATTTGAAATTCAGTATCCCCTTCAGAATATCATTTAAGGAAAATTTGTTTTAAAAAATAATTTTCTGAAATATGGAGGACTGGGAATCCCACACCTGAATATATACCCCTGCCTATAGAATGTAACAAATCAAGCTTTTGCATCAAAATCAGATAGACCTGGGGTTTATTATATTATTACTATTATTATTATTATTAAAAATCTATTTAGATAAATAGTATTCAAATTTGTTGTCTTACAAAGAAATACAATGAAAGTAATGAAATACTAAAAGTTAGAGTACGATTGAAATATATCAAACGGATGTATGCATTTTGTTCAACATTTTAGATTGTGTTTTTTGTTTTTTCTTTATGTTTTATGTATTATGTTTTTGAAAACAATAAAATATATGTAAAAAAAAGCATTTTCTGAAATATGTATTGTTTGTTTTTGAACTTTAATTGTTATCGATGGAATTGAATACAATTTCCATACGGAATATAGAAAATGTGCACATGTAAATGATGGCAAAATTATTATGTCTGTCGTTTTAAATCATAATCCTCACTTGACTGCAGCTATGTTATTGTTACATGTTAGTTACATGGTAATTTCCTCCAAAACAATATATATTATTTATATTACATTAAAGCATGGATTTTGTGCTGCAAAAACCAATGTGTAAAGATTTACAAGCGTACAATAATATCTGTTGTAAATACAATATATATATATATATATATATATATATATATATATATGCATACATACATACATACATATATACAGTGAGGAAAAAAATATTTAAAGACCTGGTGATTTTGAACATTTGCCCACTGACAAAGAAATGATCAGTCTATAACTTTAATGGTAGGTGGATTTTAACAATGAGAGAAAGAATAACAAAAAAAGAAATCCAGAAAACCGCATGTCAAAAAAGTTATAAATTAATTTGCATGTCAGTGAGTGAAATAAGTATTTGACCCCTACTACTTAATACTTTGTGGCAAAACCCTTGTTGGCAATCACAGAGGTCAGACGTTTCATGCCGTTGTCCACCAGGTTTGCACACATCTCACAAGAGATTTTGTCCCACTTCTCTTTGCAGATCCTCTCTATTAAGGTTTTGAAGCTGACGTTTGGCAACTCGAACCTTCAGCTCCCTCCACAGATTTACTATGGGATTAAGGTCTGGAGACTGGCTAGGCCACAGGATCTTAATGTGCTTCTTCTTGAGCCACTCCTTTGTTGCCTTGGCTGTGTGTTTTGGGTCATTGTCATGCTGGAATACCAATCCACGACCCATTTTCAATGTGTTGAGGGAAGGAGGTTCTCATCCAAGATTTGAAGGTACATGGCCCCGTCCATCGTCCCTTTGATGCGGTGCAGTTGTCCTGTCCCCTTAACAGAAAAACACCCCCAAAGCATAATGTTTCCATCTCCATGTTTGTCGGTGGGAATGGTGTTCTTAGGGTCATAGGCAGCATTCCTCCTCCTCCAAACACGGCGAGTTGAGTTGAAGCCAAAGAGCTCAATTTTGGCCTCATCTGACCACAACACTTTCACCCAGTTCTCCTCTGAATCATTCAGATGTTCATTGGCAAACTTCAGACGGACCTGTACATGTGCTTTTTTGAGCAGGGGTACTTTGCGGGCGCTGCAGGATTTCAGTCCTTCATAGTGTAGTATGTTACCAATTGTTTTCTTGGTGACTATGGTCCCATCTGCCTTAAGATCATTAACAAGATCCTCCCATGTAGTTCTGGGCTGATTCCTCACTGTTCTCATGATCATTGAAACTCCATGAGTTGAGCTCTTGCATGGAGCACCAGATCGAGGGAGACTCAAAGTTATTTTGGGTTTCTTCCATTTGCGAATAATCACGGCAACTGTTGTCACCTTCTCACCAAGCTGCTTGGCAATGGTCTTGTAGCCCATTCCAGCCTTGTGTAGGTCTACAATCTTGTCCCTGACATTCTTGGACAGCTCTTTGGTCTTGGCTATTGTGGAGAGTTTGGAATCTGATTGATTGATTGCTTCCGTTGACAGGTGTCTTTTATATAGGTAACAAATTGAGATTAGGAGTACCCCCTTTAAGAGAGTGCTCCTAATCTCAGCTCATTACCTGTATAAAAGACAGCTGGGAGGCAGGATCTTGCTAACTGATAGAGGATCAAATACTTATTTCATTCATTGATATGCAAATCAATTTATAACTTTTTTGACATGCGTTTTTCTGGATTTTTTTTTTTGTTATTCTGTCTCTCACTGTTAAAATACACCTACCATTAAAATTATAGACTGATCATTTCTTTGTCAGTGGGCAAACGTTCAAAATCAACAGGGGGGTCAAATACTTTTTTCACTCACTGTATATATATATATATATATATATAGTGAGGGAAATATATATAATATATATTATAATATTTAAGTTTTTAAAATTTATTATGTATAATATAAGTAAGATTTAAAAAAACTATTATTTGGGGTCCAAAAACATTTTATACCTAAATATTATCTAATCTAGTTTTGTCTAATAAAATGCTCATACATATACATGTTTGTGTAACACTAGAGTAGAGGTCTCTGAATTAATCAGGTTTCCCCTACTCCTTTTTTCTTACTCTTAGGTCTTCATACATAAACATCTACTTTAATTTGTCAATGTTTCAGTTTAGAATTACAACTTACATCAGGTTTAATCATAACCTGAAATGTTGACAAGTACAAGTTGTTTTATATATGAAGGCCAAGGAATGCTAGCCATTTCTTTGGTAACGTATATCTTCTAGTTATTATTATTATTATGATATTTATAGAGCGCCATCAAATTCCGCAGCGCTTTACAATGGGTGGATGAACAGACATGTAGTTGTAACCAGACAAGTTGGACACAAAAGAACAGAGGGGTTGAGGGCCCTGCTCAATGAGCTTACATGCTAGAGGGAGTGGGGTAAAATGACACAAAAAGGTAAGAATAGTATTAGACTAGTGACAGTTGCAGAAGAGGAATCAGTCAGGAGCTATTAACAGTTTAATTGATACGCTTTTATGAAAAAGTGGGTTTTTAATGATTTTTTGAAGGAGTGGAGACTGGGTGAGCATCTAACGGAGGAGGGAAGCGAGTTCCACAGGAACGGTGCAGCCCTTGAGAAATCTTGAAGGCGAGCATCAGAGGTGGAAGTACGGACAGAAGATAGACGTTAGTCTTCAGCAGATCGTAAGGGCCTAGACGGGACATACTTGTGTATAAGGGAGGATAGATAGGTGGGGGCAGCATTATGTAGAGATTTGAAAGCAAGAACCAGAATTTTAAATTGAGCTCTATATTTTATAGGAAGCCAATGTAGGGACTGACAGAAGGGTGAGGCATGGGAGGTGCGGGGGACAGGAAGATGAGCCTCGCCGCCGCATTCATTATGGACTGTAACGGCGCAAGTTGGGAGCACGTAAGACCACTGAGAAGCAGATTACAGTAGTCAAGGCGAGAAAGGACAGTGGAATGGACCAACACCTTAGTCGCATCTGGCGTTAAGTAGGGGCAGATGCACGCAATGTTTTTGAGATGGAAATTACAGGATTTGGCGATAGATTGAACATGAGGCTTGAAGGAGAGGTCGGAGTCAAAGAGAACAGCTAGGCAGCGATCCTGCGTGGTGGAGCTGATGGTAGCACCTTTGACTTGGAGGGAGACAGACACAGGAGTAACAACACTTGAGGGAGGAAAGACCAGAATTTCAGTTTTGGTCGAATTTAGTTTAAGGAAGTGGGCAGCCATCCAGTTAGAAACAGCAGAGAGGCAGTCAGAGACACTAGTCAAGAGGGACGGGAAGAGATCAGGAGAGGACAGGTAGATTTGCGTGTCATCTGCATAGAAATGATATTGGAAGCCAAAGAAGCTAATGAGTTTACCAAGGGAAGCAGTATAGATGGAGAACAGTAGGGGACCAAGGACTGAACCCTGGGGGACACCAACAGAGAGGAGTTGGGGAGAAGAAGCAGAGCCAGAGAAAGAAACACTAAAAGAGCGCTGGGAGAGGAAGGAGCAGCACCAGGAGAGAGCAATATCTTGTAGACCGATATTGCGGAGGATGAGAAGAAGCTGTTGATGATCAACAGTGTCAAAAGCCGCAGACAGGTCAAGGAGAATTAGGAGAGAGTAGTGACCACGAGATTTTGCAGCGAGTAGATCATTGGATACTTTGGTCAGTGCCATTTCCACAGAGTGCTTAGCGCGGAAACCAGACTGAAGCGGGTCTAGCAGAGAGTTGGACTCGAGGAAGTCTGTCAATCTCGCATACAATTTTTTTCAAGGATCTTGGATGCAAAAGGCAGTAGCGAGATAGGACGGTAGTTCAATGGGGAGTTAGGGTCAAGACTGGGCTTCTTTAGAATTGGGGTGACAGTTGCATGTTTGAAGGGCAATGGAAATATACCAGAGGAGAGAGAAAGATTGAGAATTTTAGTGAGACGTTGAGAAAGAGAAGAAGACAGTAAGAGGAATGCATATAGGTGAATAAAAAAATTACATACGGGGCTAGCAAAACTACACTTTAGCATAACAGACAAGATATAAATACAAGAAAACAAGAAAATATACAATGTACACAGGATATATTAAATAAAAATAAAATAAATGTACATGGTGGGTTAAGTTAAAAATAAATGAAGGTGTGCAGGATAGAGTCTTAGTGTGGTCTTCCAGAAGGCTACCTTTGCAGACGATCAGGCTTGCTCACTGAAGGAATGGGCTTTCAAAGTTGGGGAATCAGGCTTTGCAGACGATCAGGCTTGCTCACTGAAGGAATGGGCTTGCAAAGTTGGGGAATCAGGCTTTGCAGACGATCAGGCTTGCTCACTGAAGGAATGGGCTTGCAAAGTTGGGGAATCCGGCTTTGCAGATGATCAGGCTTGCTCACTGAAGGAATGGGCTTGCAAAGTTGGGGAATCAGGCTTTGCAGACGATCAGGCTTGCTCACTGAAGGAATAGGCTTGCAAAGTTGGGGAATCAGGCTGTTTAATGTTGCTGGCCTGCTGTCTCCCAGCTCTGGGCACATTTGCTTATTCGGATATATATGGGTATCCAAATTGCCCAGCATATTTACTTCTATAATTAAAACCCACAAATTAAAATACTAGGAATGTGACACACCACTGGCACTAATTGTGCAAAACTCTCCTTCAGGTACCATACCATTGGGTACTCAAACCCTATGCTTTTTAAAGTTGCTAAAATTTATGAAAAGCCCTACCAGAGTGTTAAATATGTGTGTTATTGCTAAAAAAAATGTTTTTAAAAAACATATAGAATTACTTATTTAATGCTTTAATTAACCAGCATTTTTAAACAATGATGCTAGTCCTCATTTTCAATATGCATCCATTAAAATAATACCCAATTTAAGCCCTATTACAAAACAATAATATGTTTGTGCATCAGATAAGCTCTGGGATGCCCCAAGTGGTTTCAATACCATCTTACAGTTTCATATTGCCATAAAGAAACCAATGTGCTAATCAATTTTCAAACCTCTTGTTTGGCTCTTTTCTTTTACACAGACTGCAAAGTGTAATCTTAATGTTAAAAATCAATAACTAAAAAGAAAGAGACCAATATCTTCTAGACAATTAATCGTATCTGCCATTTTTAAACATGCCATAGATTTTATTTTAATAAAACACAAGTGTTAATTTGCATAATAATGTTCTCCCATAGAACTAGGTTTACAGTTTTCATTTCAGTGATAATGATAAAAGTTTTATCTAGTGTCACTTTAATGCACACATGGTTCTGCAGGTTTAATTAAACAAGGTAAAGGATCAACACAGCTTTCAAGCTAGTATAATAAAGAAAACTATACTATAATTTATTTTTCTGAATCAAGATATATATATATACATATATATATATTGTTTATTTATGGTCAGGCGAAAAAAAGCTGTGAAAATGCAACATTGGTTACGGTGTAAAGTAGGTTGTGGTGTGCTGAAACCGATGCTCGGGTAGGTCTGTAAATAAAGAGGGCCCACCAAGGTAGTGATATGACAAAGAGGAGAGCAGAGAGTGGCATGAATCAAACATAATTGGCTCAGGTAACAGGTTGCCTGAGTTTAAATAGCCAACGTTCACGTAGGTCTGTAAATAAAAAAGGCAAAAGATACCAAAATGCACACTATGTTATATTCAACTTACAAAGCCAATCTCTTGAACTCTTCCTTAACTCTAATTACTAGGTCTCTCATTTTTGCAGGCAGCAAAATCTAAAACATTATGATATGCTAATTTCCCCTTGAATGTTTATATGTATATTTTTCAATAAGGTGCAAATTTTTATGTAATACAATAGAAATATGGGTTATAGTTTGTGTTATAACAAACTCTGTTATAGTTTCAGAGCTTGATATTATATGGACAAATAATGTTTTGCATTTGTAAAGGGTATGTCTTATGTCATTTGGTGTAATCAGCATTTTCTTAGTAATCATTAAACTATGTATTAAAATACTTTACTTACCATATATGCACACCATCAGTGGTGAAACAAATAAACAGAGGACCAGATGCAAGAATTGTTTTTGACTATTATCTTGTGTGAGTAAAAAAAGGACAGTAAAACTCTTCTAACATAAGTGTTATCAATCACAATCCTTTTATCAAACTTTTAATGCAACAACTGAAAGTATAGTAAATTCAACACCTCAAAGTACCTGAAAAAATACTTTTTTTTTTTTATGAATTAACCAATACCTCAACATAAGTATAACAAAAAGTGTTAGTACATAATCAGAATGAACAATGGACATTTCCCGGACTTGAAGATGCGTACAATCAACAACTGACTATATCTCCTTAATCAATTGCACCAATCAAAGTTGAGTGAGTGTGGGCATCTCATTGGTAGACGGTCTCCATATATTAAGAAAAAAAAAATTGGTGTGCCACACAAATGTTTATTAGTTCATCATGGTTACCAGAGACAATGGGGAATTGTCTGGTACATAAACATTCCCAAAAGAGTATGTTTTACTTTTCACCAATCCTTAGTTTAATATTTTCAAGGATTAACAAGAACATTGCAAAACTCTATTTATTCTTTTTGGTAGTATACTTTATATGTACACTAAAAATTATTTAAACTTAAAATTAATATTATATATTTATTTAATTCAAATTAATTGTGAGTATAAAAACAGCCAGTTTATTTCTTTAGTAGCATTTTTCACACAATATATGCAAATTGAAAGATGTTTCATGTTTTACATTTTTAATACCACTTAATAGCTAAATATAATTTATATACACTCTTAGTTTTCAGTTAATTGTTTTGCTGTGTATAATATCTCTGTTTCATTAATGATACCAAATTTATATATATAAAAAAATAAGTTTGCTACCCGTTCTGCAGATACTAAAAATATTCTGGTAAATCATAATGGAAATGTTTCTATTCAGTGTTCTTTTCTACCTGGGTCACATGTTATTTCATTTGCTTGGTAAAATGTATTAAGCCTGTAAATAATTAAATGTCAATGAACGTTCAATATTGTTTTTTATTCACATATATTTTATTATTAAAAATAAAATAAAAGTATAAAAAGCAACAGTTTTGTTTCTTTAGTAGTCTCTCTGTGTAGTTTTTGATCATCAGTATACAAATTGAAAGATTTTTTTAAGGTTAATTTATTATTAATGCATTTGTTTAAAAAAAATAGAAAAAAGTAAATATTCTAAGAAATTAGGTATTAAGATAATTGTACAAAAATGTATTATTTATGCATTTTTTTACCATACTGCTAAAATTGTTTATCCTCTTAGTATATGTCAAATTTTTTTACCATATATAATCTTAATTACGCATTAATGGAACCAAATATATACAAAATAATAACATTTTCTACCTGTTCTGTAAATGGTTTAAATGATCATTATTATTAAATCATGACGTGAATCTTTCTATATGGTAATCTTTTCTACCTGGGTTCCATGTTATTTAATTTCCCTGAGAATATTCATTAAGCTTTTACCTCAAAGTGATTAAATGTTTATGAACATGCAATATTCATTTTTAATGCCTACACACCATCTGCAATTGGCAAAGTCTATTTAAACAGATTTTGCTGTTTAATGAAGAAATGTCCAATATTTCTATAGAACTTGCTATCTTTGTTTGCAGGTTTTATGACAGAAAAACAATACAAGTCAGTAACTTGCATATATAATACATACAACATACCGATCTGGTGTTTCTATATAGTTTTCATTTAATGAGTGTGCCTCGCTGTTAGTGTTTCTACCTAAAGCACAAATACAGCTGCAGAGTCATATTATGTAGATTGCCAATTAGCAGTATGTGCCAGCTATAAACATCTGACAATTGAGACTTTTGTACTTTTGTGACCTTTTTTTTATTTGCAGAGCACAAAAAAGGAACCACATTCCATATATATATATATTGTGCACATTAATATATAAAAAATATAGCAACTCATAAAGAGTGTAATATTATCAGACATTTGTTTCTCTAAACATATATTGCTCCCATAAGTCATGTGGGAAAACATAGGAAAAAGAGAAAATGTAAGCAGCTCTAACCACTGTTCCCAGAGAGGGATCAAAGAGTAGTTGTATAGAGGGGACAAAGACAAATGATGAGGAATGCATGAAACGGTAGTTGAGACCTGAAGGTTTTGATGATGGTTTACCGTAACTGATGTGAAATAGTGTTGACCACATTTGAAAATATCTCCAAGAATAAAGAGCAATGTAGACACTTTTGGGTAGTGCTATTCTTGAGGGAAATCAGGAATCTATAGAGACCCTTAACCTTGCCCTCCAGGTCGATATAAACAGCATTATCCATGAAAGCATTTGTGGTCCAAGTCCTATTCTCTGCAACACAGCTCTTCAGAATTCCCACCCACCTAGTCAACCTGGAAGGTAAGAACAGATGAGATGTGCACAAGCAGCCCAAGAAATCTGTTGATATAATTATAGTGTGTGTTTTAAACAGACTTATGGCTTGTCTCATTACTACATTATTTCTATTGTTTTTAAAATCAAATGTCACATCCCTAGTCGGGAAAAAGGAATATCACATATCACATCCCTGGGCGGGTTAAAGAAAGGTGATTTAGGGCATAAAGCCTATATCCACATATGTATCCAGCATTCTCTGCAAAATATGGTTAAAGAGGTTCTACAGCAGCAGAGATAAATAAATAGGGGATACCTGTTTTGGAAAACCCCTTACACATGAAGGTTAACAAATTTAAACCTATTTAGTTTAGAAAAACGTCGCCTGAGAGGGGATATGATAACATTATACAAATATATTCGGGGCCAATACAAACCATTGTGTGGAAATCTATTCACAAACCGGACTTTACATAGGACACGAGGCCATGCGTTTAGACTGGAAGAAAGAAGATTTCGTCTAAGGCAAAGGAAAGGTTTTTTTACCGTAAGAACAATCAGGATGTGGAATTCTCTGCCTGAAGAAGTGGTTTTATCAGAGTCCATACAGATGTTCAAACGGCTACTAGATGCATACTTGCAAGAACAGAATATTCAAGGATATAATCTTTCAATGTAGGGTAATAACTGCTTGATCCAAGGATAAAGCTGACTGCCATTCTGGGGTCAAGAAGGAATTTTATTCCCTAGCTTGTTGCACAATTGTGCTTCAAACTGGGTTTTTTTGCCTTCTTTTGGATCAACAGCAAAAAACAAATGTGAGGTAGGCTGAACTTGATGGACACAAGTCTCTTTTCAGCTATGTAACTATGTAACTATGTAACATACAGTGGTAAATCACACACCTATTCTACAAATTATCAATCAAAATGTGCAGATACATTTCAGCTATATGTGTAACATATATGGCAAAGTCTATGGTAGTGGGCAAGACCCATAATTATTGATCAGTTTAACAAAAAATAGTGAGTGTAATTTTAATCCTACGTCCAGTAGAGCAAGATAATCCATGGTGCTGGGAGATCATAGATTTTTAGTCAGAAGACATTAAATGTGTGCATTACAAAAAAATACATTTGGTTTGTACGAAATATTAATTGGTTCAATTGGATCAAAATTCCTCCCAGTGATGTTTTGGTTCATATGAATTTCCCATGCAATTCAGAGGAAATAAAATGGTGTACAAATGCAAATGCAAAAAAAAAAAATCTTCTCCATTCCCACACCCTTTTTCTGGCACCATTGACCAAATACTGAATAATAAAACAACAAAAAATGGCTCATCCATTACCTTTTCGTTTGTTTCGTTATTCAGTGAGTTTGGATTTGTGGAAATGCCGAATCACCAATTTCTCTAATTTTGGACAAATCCCGATTCTGTTGAAACCAAATACACAAATCTAGGAGACATAAGAAACAGAAAGCTCAGCTGGATTACATTTCAGAAAAAATAATTTACAGAGATGGTGACTATAAAAAATAAGGTAATCATTTATTGTAAATCCATATAGCACATCAATATCGAAATGAAACATGGACAGAAAAAATAACCTAGAGCTACCTAATGCATTTTGGGTTGATTAGATCTCCTACTCATAGACATTGCATGTTACATCCTTAAAGAAATAAATAGTGGAATTGTAATTAGTGATTATCTGATGCTGCTGAGAGAACTGACTAAGGCCAGCCCTATGGGAGGCAATTCTAATCAAAATTCTAATCACAAGAGTTGCAGTGTGCCAATTTCACTATAAATAAAAAACATTTGAAAGCTGTGTTACTGTAACTTGCTTACAAATTAATTTACTACAGTAACTAATAAAACTGAAATGGTATTGTCAATTTGACATTTGCAATCTAAAAAGTCCACATTTTAAATAACAATTTAAATAACCTTTAGTGCCTGTAAAATTTTATGTTATGCAAGTTATGACTAAAAGCTCAAAAATAAATTAAACAGTTTTGACAACTATTAAAAAGTAAAGGGAGAAATAAAAATCACAATTAAAATAAGGCAAAAGTGAAAAAAAAAGGGAAAATGTATCCATACTTACCATAACTTTCTTTTCCTGGTCATATGCCATGGCAGCACAATGATGGGGTAGCTCCTCCCTATGCCTAGTCTTGTTACTAGCAATATCCCAGGGCGGGATCTTTGTGCTGCCATGGCATATGACCAGTAAAAGCAATTACGGTAAGTGTGGATACATTTTCCCTTTTCCTGGCCAAACATGGCAGTACAATGGGTAATACCCAAGCAATTACCAAGGGAGGGCTGAATAAATAAAGAAACCACAGACTCCGAAATATCATATGCAAAGGGTATTGAAACATAGAAACATAGAAACATAGAAACATAGAATGTGACGGCAGATAAGAACCATTCGGCCCATCTAGTCTGCCCAATTTTCTAAATACTTTCATTAGTCCCTAGCCTTATCTTATAGTTAGGATAGCCTTATGCCTATCCCACGCATGCTTAAACTCCTTTACTGTGTTAACATCTACCACTTCAGCTGGAAGGCTATTCCATGCATCCACTACCCTCTCAGTAAAGTAATACTTCCTGATATTATTTTTAAACCTTTGTCCCTCTAATTTAAGACTATGTCCTCTTGTTGTGGTAGTTTTTCTTCTTTTAAATATAGTCTCCTCCTTTACTGTGTTGATTCCCTTTATATATTTAAATGTTTCTATCATATCCCCCCTGTCTCGTCTTTCCTCCAAGCTATACATGTTAAGATCCTTTAACCT